TCAGGAAACCACCCGCTCATCATGTCACTGTGAATATTTTAAAATACAATGCAGATGACTGCTTTCCATCTTCACTTGGAAACAAAGAATAAATCAGAAAGAAATGCCTCCGGTTCATAGCATATATGTGCAAAGTAGGGGAGTCCGGTCCCACAGCCTTTTTTCCCCAGCAGCTTCCTTACACTGAAGGTCTGAGAAAAACTAAATCTGAAGTTTTCCATCAGGTCTCCCATGCATTTCCGGTGTGTAAGTCAGAAGAACAATCATTACCCACAGGTGTAGTACCGCCTGGGGAAAAAAATAGAAATGGTTAAAGTTTTAATTGACCTTTCCAACATGGTATGTTTCAGATAAACACTCACAATGTAAAGGATAACGAAAACTCTGGCCATTGGGTAGCGCCTCAGGAAGATTCCAAGTCTTATGCTGTGAGACAAAGATTTCTATCAATCACAGTGGAAGGCTTCGCAGAGGAGGCAGTATTTGAATCACAGCATGCTATTGGTAAAGATCATAAGAAGGGAGCAACCAACAATTACCTGAAACGGTCAATAGTGCTGGCAGCCTTTCGTACTTTGCCATATACCCCTGGGCTGTCCTGGTCACTAAAGAGCACTGGCGTGCTTCTTTGTCGTGCTCCTGGAGGTCACACAAATGCAAAGAAAACATCACCCCTCATTAATTTGAGCTTGAAATACCTCCTTTTACCTGCTGATATGCCAATAAAGCAAATAAACAAACAAAAACGCGTCCGGTCTCTGCTACCTGAAGCTTCGAGGCCGCTCATGTTGATGGCCGGCCCTCCACTCTGCCCTCCCTGAGCGCTCTTCAGCTGCTGCTCCAGGCGCTCCAGCTGGAAAACCAGGGAGCTTTTCTCCGTGCCCAGAGCCTCCAGCATGGTCTGCTTCTGGATCAGCGTCTCTGTCAGCTGGTGGAGTCGATTCTCCAGCTCCGTTTGGCTGCTGCTGCTCAGAGTCTTGTTGGTCAACTGGGAGGATGAGGATGGAAAATCAGAGATATTGTAAAACTTCGACTTGGGAAGGGAACGCAGCCTATTTTTGTCCTGTAACCCGGTGGCCCCAAACCTTTTTTGTGCCACCGACCGTTTTAATGTCAGATAGTATTTTCTGTGTAACTTTATTTTTCTACTTAAGCCTGTCGCCGCATATTTTGCAGGGCGGGCTTTGTGCGTGGGAAACAACTGCCCAAATAAATCCACATTTTAGGTAGGTCTCCTGGTATTGTCTGGTAAATGCAGCTTTCTTTTTCTGTGTGGGCACAGGCTCGTCTTCTATCTCCTCACTGGGGCTTTTTCCAGTCCTCATTTTGCTAGTTTTATGGGTTTAATATTAGTGTTAAAATATCACGCAACCGAGAAGAGCATCAGAAGGGAGTCACAGATGGATGTAAAAGAGAGAATTCCAGTCATTTTTCAACATCAAACTTTGTCCAGACTCGGATCATAAATAAAGCCGAAGTCATATGAGTTCTTTTATTCTTTCGGTGCGGCCCGGCAGTAAACAGGTGGGTTGGGGACGATTGCTGTAACCAACTGTGCATGACTGACCTGATTCCTGAGCTTTTGGATTTCATCTTCTCTGTCTTTGATTCGGCTCTGCAGTGTGATTTTGGCTCGATGCTGCTCATCCTCAAGGTACTGCAGCTCCTGCAAAATATTTACAAAGAATATCTCAAATCTCTGGGCAGCTCTAAAATGTATTCACCCCCCCCCGCCCATGGTTCCTGTGGTGGCCATTAGGGTATCATTACCTGTTTGTAGCGCTCTACTTCAGCTTCCAGCTCCTGTTTAGCTCGATTCTGAAGGCTCTGCTGCTCCTGTAAATGCACCTGCTGCTCCCGCCATGTCTCTGCCTCTGTCAGGGCCTGAGTCTCCAAATCCTGAGAGGAAGCAGATACAGCCCATTAGCCACTGAATCAGGCAGATTTATGATGTCTTTATATGTGGTTTCAGAGGGTTGGCTTTACGTGTGTCACTTCATTTGCACAATCAATCTGACAATGAGGATGTTATTATATACAAAGAATATAAGAATCTAACTTTAGTATGGCCACCCTGCACTAAACACAAGCTTTAGACAATCCAGCCAATTCCAACATCTCACCTGTATCTCAGTCCGGAGGGTGCTGACTTGCCCCTGCAGCTTTTGGATCTCTTCCCTCTGCAGCTCTTTCTCATGACGCAGCTCCTCAACTTCCAGAGCCAAGGCCCCGCTGCCGTCCCCCGTTTCCAGACCGGATCCCTCCTTCAGACTGCTGATCAGCTTCTCTTTGGACTGGAGGAGCAATAAAAGCAGGTCAGGGGCACGTATTGCGCGGCAGTTGAAGGGCTACGAGGAGAGGGCTTTTTTCTCAGGGCCTCACCTGTAGGATGCGCGACGCTTTGTGCTTGTAGTCCTGCAGCTCTTGCTTGGCGGACTCGGCCGCGGCTTTGGCGCTCCTCAGCTGCTGCTGGAAGTCGTCCATCTTAAACTTCTCCTCTGTGGCTCGCCGTTCTCCTGCCGTCACCGTCTCGGCGAGGGTCTGCCTCTCCGCCTCTAACTTTGCCAAGCGGCACGAATACTCGTTCTGCACCAGAGCAGATCAATCATCAGCATCGTAAATTGTCATACTAGAGGCTCAGATAAAAACAATAATGATGGTTGTCATGTGGACCTGCATCTGCCGGTAGCTGTCCTGCTCCCTCCTGACGGTCTGTTCGGCCTCTCGCAGCCTCTCCTGCATCGTTTCAAGGGCCTGGGTCTGCATGCTGCTGCCTTCTGTGTGGTCTTGGATAACTCTGGAGAAAACAGTGTCCGCATTCAGCAACTGAAAACTGAGTTCGATATTCTATTTCCAAATGGGGGGGCAACAAGAGTCCACCTTGACTTCTCCTTCTGCACCTCCTCTAAAGCGTTGCTGCGAGTTTTAAGAAGCTGGTCGGCTTCATTGAGCCGGATTTTGAGGACCGCGAGCTGGCCGTCTTTGGCAGAGAGCGCTTCTGTGAGGTCGTCGACCTGCGACTGAAGTTGTCGTAGCGTGCGGTCAGTCTGGGACTGCTCAGTGTTCCATCTGTCTGCACGCAGACGGGCCTGGTTCAACTCTACCAGAAGAAAAAAAATAAATAAATCGGATGTGAAAAGGGAAAAAGAGAGAGGCACAAGGGGAAAGGCCGTGTTATTTGTCATTTCTTTCACCATCTTGCAAGTCCTTGGCCCTCTGAATGACCGCAGCCATCTCCTGGTTGAGGGAGGCCACCTCGCTGCGCAGCAGCTGGTTCTCCAGACGCAGGCTGGACAGGACCTGGCTCTGCGGCTCCTCTGCCGGGGGAGGGGGCTCCTGTCTGCTGGACTCCTGGGGCGCAGCCAGACCGGAGTCCGAACTCTCAGGCGTGTCTGCGGCGAGTACGGAGCGTGCAAAGAGAAATCACGTGAAAGATTTGGAAATGCACAGATTTTAGAGATGAGGGGATTTGTGTGTTGGACAAGTGGACAGAAAAAGCCACGACCTTGTTGCACTATTAGGAGGTAGTTGCAACATGCGTGAAACAAGCAGAAGCACTGAAGAAAAATGCCCATCTGAGCACATTCAGTTTCAGACGATTTCTCAGATTTTACCACTAACAAGGACTGAAGTCCATCTCAGTATAACACACACCCCCTATGTGTTTCACAAGAGTAACGAACAACTGAACAAGATCACAAAAGCTGCCTCGCTTTTTCAAGCCATTTAGCCAAACGAGGCCCTAAATCTATCTGTGTTTCAATAATGTTACCATTTCAAAACTAGGGGACGCTGTTAGTGACTAAGTAATTCATACAACTACCTTCGTGTTTGAATCATAGCTTACATTTCAAAGAAGGTTCATTCTAAAAACAGGAAAAACCAACTGCTTTATTGCTGCTAAAGTCAGCTCTGACGCAGCAACTGTTGGAAAATTAGCAGAAACTGCTACTCGGGCTCTTCTAACCTCCCACTTCAGAGGTACATTAAATGCAGAATAGCCAACAATAAAAAACAAAGAAACAAACGAATGAAAATAGTTGAGAAAGAGGATTGTGTAACTACAAAGTAGGATTTTCAAACAACAGGTGTACTCACAGGAATATTAAAAAATGAAAATCATTCAAAGTTTATACTCAAATAAACCAAAGGTGATTTGGTTTATCTTAAAAATAGACTTTTACACGTAAAAAAAAAGCAGGTACTTTTCTATATGATAGAGTTTCTGCTAGAGTTTTCTTTAGAAAAGGCTACAGTGTTCTCCTGGTCATCAGCATTAGAGTGACTCGTACCTTGGCTCTGCTCTCTGGCCGAGCTCTCTGACGTTTTGACGCTGTGAGCAGAGAGAGAGCTCATGCTGGAGGCCCTGGATACTCCGCGAGTAGAAGGGGGAGTGGATGGAGCCGAGGGGACAGCGGAAGGTGGAGGTGTTGGATTTTGGGCCTCTATGACCGGAGCAACCACTTTCACAAGTTCCCGCCTCGAGTCCCTCCTGTTGCCCGCGGGTGGGTCGGAGCTGTTCAGGAAGTCGAAAAGCATGTCATCGTCCACGTCCTGCTCGCTCTTCTTGGGCCGCACAAAGCTGGAGGAAGTCTTTGCGGAGTTGGGAGCGACGGGGCCACTGGGCACATTGGCTGTCCCAGCCAGCAGGGTTGCACTGGATTTCTTGACGTTGCCAGCAGCGGCGGAAACGTAGCTCGGAGCATCGTGGGAAGACCCGTAGGGATGTGTTGCAGCCGGGTTGAATGCCGCAGAGCCGTACTCATCTGTGACAGCAGACCCTCCTTCGTAGGGTGATGAAAAGGAGGATGTCGCGGCCTGGTTTTTGCTGAGGGCAGTGGCAGCTCCCTGGTCCACTTTGTTCAGGAAGTTCTCGGCTTTTCCAGCCAAGTCAGTAAACCAGGACATTTTGGATCCTGATGGCAGAAAAATATCAGAATAAGAGATTTTAGATATTCATCTTAAAATTATTCTGTAGCTTTGACAACTTTGACACCAATTGTTGTATTATCGATACAACAAGATATCTTCTTCTGAGAATAAATCTGGGCAGGTAAAGTTGAACAATAGTCCCTTTCCTTAATACATCAGTAACTGACAGATTTTAATGGGATATTTCAGGACAAGATATGCTGATTCCGAGTGAAAATAAAATGAACTAATAAAGTATCTTTTGCCATAAGCAATATATCATCATCACACAATTTTATTGTGCACATGGTTATAAACAGTTCCATGCACAACTCAGCATGTTTTTATTATGATTTAAGCAAGCAAATTATTGTTAATGACTTTTTTTTCAAATTGATCCTATAAGTACCAGTAATATGATTAAAAAAAAACCAATAAAGCTCTCATATTTTAGTCGTTTAAAAAGCCATATAAATCCAAAGTTAGGAATAATGATATGGAGTGTATGAGCACACCTACACAGTTTTTACTCCCCGAATCCAGAAAATGAAGATTCCCAAGCATCAAATGATAAATCAATTATTTGATGGTTTTGTAACCTATCTAACCCCTAAACCTAAACCTTAATAAAGCCTTTTTAAAATTTCTGTTATAGGAGTCATTACTGGTGTTCGCAGTTTATTTATTTTTCTCTCCCGTGACTAGATAAAACCGGATGTATTTACTTTCACTGAACAAATAGGTTCATACATTTTCTGTGCCCTGGGCCAAAGAATATGTTACTCGAAAAACCAAAATGTTTCCAAAAAATTCAGTCGCCATTGAAACAGACTTTTAAATCCTGTTTCCTGTGTGTAAACCTTCTCTGAAATAAAAGCAAAGAACTCTTGTTTACTGATTCAGGCACGTTTAAAACAGGTAGGAACTAGTCTCTTATTTAATATTTGGTCTGGTTTGTGATATTTTTAGCCTCTGAAAAAAATCCACAGTAACAATAAATCATTTTTCCCCAATCAATTAATACATTAGTGCCTTGGATAAACTTCAAAGGTATTCTATTTAGCAGTATATGTTTTGCTCAGCTACAATGCTACACAAGACGATCGTAAACATCCATTGTTTATTCGTTTCCTTTTTAATGCCAACTGCACTTATTTGTAAAAAAGGCAAGAAATTCAATAGAAAGCTATTGGTGGCACTGTCACCTTCCATAAAACCAAAATAAACAGTTTGTTCTGCATAAACTCCATCACTGCTAAAAGCTAACAGGCTAGCTTTTACTATAAGAAACCTCAAAACCTACCGTTTGAAATAGCTCGTAAACCTCAAATTATGTCCAGTCACCTGGCTATCACTGAGGTATACCTAAATTAGAAAAAACGTTGTAATAAACATGGTCAAATGTCATTATCTGTCAACGAGGATATTGGTAAGCTTCTCTATACGTGGACCAGGAAGCGCTCCAGCAGGACCCTAAAACATGGCGTCACTACAAATGCCTGATCAGAAATAAACGTCTTGGCTTTTAAAGGCAGCAAAGTTTTTATGAGCATCCAGTAAACAGTAGTCTTTTAAAATTGATGCATTTTAAGCAAAGGTAACTGTCCATTAAGCGTCATTACACCCACTATAAAAAATAGGTCAAATGTCTTTCCTTCCTGTGTTCTTTTTAAGTAATTTAGCTATTTTTTCCCATACATACAGATGTACATGTCCAAATATTGCAAAAATGCTTGTATTTACTCAATTTAACCCAAAGTTATAATGAGCCATCACAATGAACTGTTAAAACGCAAAACTTTTTTTGATATCACTGAGCAAAACAAAATATCAGAGTACTTAATTTAAAGGTTTCCGATCAGTTTCTGAAACCAACTTTGCAGATAAGTGATCTGTGAATTGGAGCAAAATTATCATTCCAGAGACTACATTCATCAACAGTCATCTTTACATGTTTTCTTAAAATAATCATGAGTAACTTGAGAAATGACACTCAGAGGATTTGGATGGTCATACACCCATATCCATCTACAACAGTAAATAAACTGACACAGAAGTTATGAAACAGTGCCTCTTTATTTGTTCCGCACTCACTCAAAAATGCATATTTACATGGCATGCCACATCAATACAGGAACTGACTATGGACACAATTGATAACATTTAGAATCTTTTCTGGGACTTAAGGGCGGAAGGAGTTACTCCCAAGAACTACCAAACAAGAAAATAACCAAAAAGAAGAAACGCTTTTATAACAGGACCAACCATAGAAAAAGAGATCCTCTTAAAATGGGCCGCTTCGAAGACTTAAAAAGTGACAAATCTCCTGCTGATGGGTTCATTTTTTCATTTTTTTTTTTTTTACCTTTGTCTCGGAGGGCTAGTAATGGCCGAGTCAAAAATGGTTCTTATCTACACTCTGCAAAAGCACTCGATCCTGTTCAGTCTCAGAACGGACAGCGAGGACAGATGTTCGTACATTTAAGGGAAGATAAAAGATTTACATCAATTCATTATTGTTTGGGACGCGATGATCCACTCAACAAACGTCCAGCAGTTTCAAAAATGAAAAGAACCCAAGTCTCCTATGGTGGTGTCATTGTCCAAGGTAGTAATCCGAAAACACCGTGTCCTTCTGAAGAACTCCAGGGGAGTGTGCGGAATCTTAAGATTGAGAGACAAAAACCGAACCGAACAAAACCCCACAGCCCACAGAGTGTGTCCGTGAAAATGCCCAAAAAAACATCAGACACCCGGACAAGTTTCTCCCAAGAGAGATCCTTTGAGAAAAATGTCTTTGTTCAATCAGTATTTCCTCTGTTTGGATGAACTGGCTGTTGAATCAGCATTCAAACGCACATTCTCAACCCATTCTCGCACGCACGCGCTCACTTCCTCTCATCTAAATGCACGCATTCTCTCCACCAGCACGACCAGTTACACATGTACTGTGGTTTCCGAATGAGGATCAGATCAGGCCCCTCCTCTTCTTGTAGTCCTCCAGGTTGAGGGACCTGCGGGGGGCTCCGTCTTTCACCGGCAGCGCATTGGAGCTCACAGACAGAGACTTTGCCTCTGTGGAATGAAGGGGAAAAAAAAACATGTGTGCTATAACTGACAGGCCAACAACTAGTCAGTCCCAGAACAACACCATAAAATGAATTAAAAAAAAAAAGTAAATAAAAAATCTCACCTGCATTAGGAACCTGCAGGTCTATCTTAACATCAAAATCATGAACTTTAAACAAATCTTCCGAGAGGTCAGTGTTTTGCTTGGGGACGTCTTTGTCTTTTGGGTTAGCTTGATCCTTTACAAGAACAGGAAAAAAATCTGTTGTGTTAAAGCCCTTTGATTAGAGAGTGGAAACAAAATCCGGCATTCCCACGCACTGGTGAGTGAATTTAAACGAGCATAATTGTAGCATATTGTCAATTGTCAAACATAAAGCCTCAGTGTGAAGGCTTTGAAAGTGTGTGTGTGTGTGTGAGCTGCCTCTCTAAATTCAGTCAGTGTCCTACTTACCAGTTTGTTCTTCTCTGCAATCGCAATTTCTGCTGCTGCTGACCCAGAGCCATACTTCTGGTTCAGGTGTGCGAGAATAGCTGCGTGGACTGACGGATCTCTGGCCTGGAGAACCAAAGAAGAGGGACTAAAAAGACAGCCCTGGATTTGTCAGGTGAAACGTTTTTGTCATCGGGGCACTTTGGGTAGGAGCATGATTCTCCATCAGAAAGATTCGACAAAAGAGCTGCCAGAAAGTGATCTTGGATGACGTACGTTAGACACCATGGTTGGTTTGCACTGTCTCCGCGTGAAGGGGTCCATTTGTTGGTTTTTGGCATTCTGTCCTTCAGCCTGTTGGAAAACATCGGTATCACATCTTTGACAAATGACTCGCGCTCAAGCAGCAAAACAAATATTCCATACTCGCTCGGCTGTGGGCCAAAACTAAACTAATAATCAAATACATGCCTTCAATCAACTAAAGATATCAGTGAGCATCAGTGAGTTAGCATCAATATTTCCTTTAAAGCACAAAAAAAAGTAGTAAAAATCTTTTTATGACTAGGTTGCCCATGTTTATCTTTGTACTTCATCAGCATATTTTAAGGAGCATAAAAGGTAAAAATTATACATTTCTGTCTTATCTTTAGATTACTTGTTCTCAACAGGAAATATTTCCAAACACTTCAATCTGAGACACTTTTTAAACTGTCAACACACGGTGTTCTATTGACTGTGGGTGAGGCAGAACAGGTGGGTGGTGTCGGGTGAAGTGGACGCTTACCACGAGAGCTTTCTCAGATTCAACAATGTTCCAACTTCTGTTCCTCTGATTAATGTAGCTGCATAACAAACAGTTCGTGAGTCCAAAGCAAAGAGAAAAAAGCAATAATATTGAGGGCAAATGTTTAAGCACGACCATTTCCTTCTCCAGATTCTTTCTACAGTTTACAGAGATGCTGAGAATGTGCTTCTTTTCAATCTCAAAGCCAGAAATAAAGGGCATCCATATTTTTTCCTCATCCCGTCTGCGGCTGTCCCCTTTTCCTACCTGATGGCAGAGATGTTCTTGGTCCTCTGTCTGTCCAGTGCCTCCGCCCTTTCCTCCAGCTCGTTGAGCTCATCCTGGATGACTTTCACCCGATCTCCGTCTCCGCTTTCCTCTGCCATGGCCTTCAATCGGATCGTTTGTGTGTTAGAGGGAAGCCCGGTGGAGCTGTCCTCGGGCCGGGACGCCGTCAGAGAGAGAGAGGGGCCAACGACGGCTCACTTACCTTGTCTTTGAGTAACTGGGTTTTCTTCATGGCGTAGTTTGGTGGCGCTTTTCGGAACCGGTCCTTCTCCTTCACGATCTGCGAAGGGTTTGGACAAAGGCGGGTGGGTTTGGTTCACATAGTGCCCGACACATCGGATCAGCGGACCCATTTTGAAAAGCCGACTCACGTCTTCGATGTCTTTGTCGTTGAACTTGTAGTTCATGGCTTCCTTGATGGATTGCTCCTTCTTGGTGATTTCGTCCAGGGTCGGTACCTGCATGCTGGCGACCATCATCTGCGGATGTAACAATTCCAGTGACGATTTGGTGGCGATTATTGCGATCCGATTGCTACATCTTTGAATCCACTTACGGCCTCTTTCCACTTCATGAATTCGCTTTCTGTGAATTCTTGATTCGATACGAACTCCAGCCTGAATACCCGTGTGTCGGCCCCGTGCCTGATGAAAGTTCACAGTATGAGTTTGTTAAACAGTTTGAGCTCTTAATGACTTTCGACAAATTAGACGTGCTGGTGAATACCTGAGCTGCAGTCCCTTGTTTGTCCGCGTCGATCCCAGCTGGTACACCTTGGCCGTCTCTACTACGTCCACAATCTCGGCGACCTTTCGACATGAAAAGTAGCGAGTCAAATCTATCTTTCTGATTTTCTCTCATGTCGCCAGCATATTAAAGCGATGTGAGCTGAAGCACGGGCTCACCCTGTAGACCGGCTTGCTGCTGCTGTTCCCGATCCCTATCCTCACGAAGCAGCCGGTCACCGTCTTGGCGAAGAAGGGCATGTGGCACCAGCGCTCCAGCTTGTGCCTGGACAGGCGGATCCTGTTGAGCTCCTCTGGGAGCGACACGGGCTGCGACTTTGGCGGCGTCTCCTCTTTTCTGTTGGCGGAAAAAAGAAGCTCGAGACGTAACCTGGAGCCGCGCGGCGAGCGGTGGGGCTGGAATTGAGCGTGCGCGGCTTTTAGTGCTTACTCGTCATCGTCGTAGGACGAGGAGCGTGAGCTCCGGTCGCTTTTGACCGAGGACTTGTCGTCGTCTTCCTCCTCCTCTTCCTCGTCGTCGGAGTACACTTCGCTTGTCTTGAGCGGCTCGCGTTTGGCCAGCAGCTCGGCTGAAAAGAGAGGAAGCGGTGGGGGATTTTAAAGCTGCTCAGCAGGGCGGCAGAGGTAGAAAACGACACCCACCTGTTTTGTTTTTCTTCTTCTCGCGCTCGGCTTTCAGCTCCTCCATGGCCTGCGACTTTTTGTCCAGTTTCTCATCCCGTTTGGACCGTCTTTCCTTGTTGTGGGACATGACCTGCAGATGGATGCGCATAACAGGATTCATTTGATGAAAGGCCCTTGATAATAAAGCAAACCGCTTGTTGTGAGTCCCATGTAAAAAACTGGACTCACCACTTGTGTGTCTTGAACCTGAGATTGCTTCCTTTTTTCTCGCTCTTCCTCCTGCTTCTTTTTCTTCTCCTCCTTTTCCTTCTTCTTTTCCGTCTTAAGCTTTTTCTTAATTTCAAACCTTTGGAAATGCGTGACAGTTAAGACAGTCAGCTCAAACGGCCCCATGCTTTGGGGTGTGCTCATTTCTCACTGAGAAAAAAAACTAAAAACATCATGAGACGCTATCAGGACTTACCGCCTCTTCAGGACCTCTCTCTTCTCAATTCGGTTGAAGAGCTCCTGCTCTCGCTCCTTCTCCGTCATCTGCTCCAGACGCGCTCTGTCTTCGGCGTCGCCCATCAGGTCATCGTCATAACCGTCCCTGAACACATCGTCTTCAGAGGAGTCCGAGTCGGAACTGGAGGATGAGCTGTTGCTTTCTGAATCCGAAACCTCGCCTGCAAGTTTGAAGGCATGTTAATCATCTCAAACCTGATCAAAACATAGAAAATGAAGGTGAATAAGATTTACTGCGAAATTAGGCTTCTTATTATAATACTATAATTATTCACAACTAATGTGTGAAAACTTAATGGTCTTCACACATCCAGCAAACAGAAATGTGATGATTGCTCATATCACAATTTAAAGTCTTTGGTTTGAATGTTAAAAAAAAAAGTTCTCAATGATTTGTTGTCAAATCCTCCAACATGAAATTATAGGAAAACATCAAGCTTCCCATTTGAAGCCAGTGGAGTTTTTTCTCCCTTATCTAAAATGGAATGTATAAAATAACTTGTGAAGGGCCAAAATAATCTAATGTAATTATTTGTGAGCTCAAGTTTCCCGTTTCTGCTGTTTTTGTCCGTCAATAAGTACGCAGCAGGACAGCGTAACGGACATAAATGGCAGCTTAGATTGTCTGCTGGGTCCCACCTGGGCTAAAGGGGATGAGGGCATGAGTCAGGTAATCCCGTCCACCTGAAATATCTGCGGACGGGGCACTGGGGTGGTGCATAATCTACAGTGTGTAGAAGAGACGGGGTAGGGTTCCTAGAAGTCTTTCCAACTCAAATTTAAAACCACTACGCATGCAATTTAAAAATTTGAGGCAGTATTCATGGGTCTTTAAAAAAAAGAAATTAAGAACTGTATAAAATTATCTAAGACTTGACTAAATTACACAGATTAACTTTTAGGCTTTTTGAGGCCTAAAATTTATTTTCTGATTTTAGATTTTGTTGAGATTTCATTATTTCTTTACAAACCTCCCTGGGTTTGTAAATAAACATGAACCTGTGGATTTATTTAGCTTAAGTTGAAAGTTGCCTGACATCAGAACTAAGTCTTTGTAAAACATGGCATTTTAAAGTCTAGTGTCAGAGCACAGAGCGGATCTGCTGTATGAACCATGAAAGGACACATACCTTCCTCTGGAGCAGAGCTGTCCGCTGAGCTGTCTCCATCTGAGCTGCCAGATGCCGTTGCTTTATTAACCTTCTTCTTTGTAGTGCTCTTCTTTTCAGTGCCTTTCCCTTGCTTAACCTTCTTTTTGCCTTTGGTGCCAGTCACGGTCCACTAGAAAAAAAGGGGTTACATATTTTATTTTTTCCCCCATGATATTGCTGTTGAGAACTTTGCGTCATTCGTTGACATCCGATATGTTCCAGGGAGGTAAATTCAGACTCTCTTTTACCTCATCATCACTGTCAGATGTCTCAGAGTCTGTGGAGGCGGCTGGTTTGTTAGCAGGCTCTTCCTGCTCACCAGAATCAACCCTCTTCCTTTTTGCCAAAGACAACAACTCCTAAATCGACAAAAACAGTGATTCACTTTAGGAAAAAAATAAAATAATTATACATATATATAAAAACAATTTAAAGAGCAGTATAACTAGCACTATACTTCGGGGGAGGGTTAGCTTTTGTGTTCTAAAAGGCTAAGGCTAAGTTCTAGTTTTCCGGTGATCCACCTTGAAATCCCATTTTGTTGGTCAAAGTGTTCAGCTAGAAAACATTTTGGATTCGGCCGATTGTGACAACCCATCCATCCATCCATTTTCGTAAGCGGTTATTCCCAAATGGGGTCGCGGGGGGGACTGGAGCCTATCCCAGTAATCAATGGGCGAGAGCCGGGGTACTCCCTGGACGGTATTGTGACAACCAACAAAGATAAATTGATTCTTTGGACGAAAAGCCAAATAAAAAAGGTGTTTTTTTCTCCTTTCTCATGTGCACCCTCTCTTTCTCTTTGGCTCCACGCATTTATTTGAAAACATATTCTGGAATTTGTAAAAGTAATGTAATAGACATTATTACTCTGAGCAAAATATGGCTCGTTTTTTTCCAAGGCAAACTCAGCTGGCATGTCCTACATTGAAAATAACCAATCCCACTGCTAACCTCTGAATATGATGATGACTATAAGTGTAGTCATCATCATATCCAGAGGTTAGAACCATCTATCTGATGGATTTAGAGCATTTATCCCACAAATATTAAACTAATGGCGGGAAATAAGCTTTTCTACGTAAATTGCCAAATAGCATTACATGAAATTGAGAGCCCTTTCTGGCCACAGGTGTAAGGAAACCAAAGCCTAATTTGATTCGAAAAAGTTAAGACAGGCTTGATACTAAATGTATGTATGTTCGCATCATGTGAGTGAACTGGAACGCAAACTAACCCCAAATACAAGGCAACTTTTTAGTCATTTGATAAAACATCGTATTCCCCTCCATCGAAACAGACACAATTATGTTTACAGTTTCAGCGGCCAATGCAACAGAGCTTAAAGAAGCTAACTCCGCTTGGTGATTCTGCTCCTTTAAGAACGCTGTCGTCTACTTTAACAAGCAGCTAGGAGCATTATAAGGCTTTAACTTTGGACAAACTGACAACATGGGAACCCAGTTATCCATGTTGGCGTGGTATTCTGGCGGTACTTGTTCACTATCAACAACAACACCGAAATAGAACTTCAGCTCCGAGCCCATGACGTCATTCGGCAGATAAGATTGAAGCGAAATCAAACGCAGCTCTACAACCGCCTCAGTTTGAGCAAACATATCACGTTCTCTGTCAGCCTCTAAGTTGCAAACCATGTCCTGCAACACTGCACAGTCGTAGCGACGAAGCTTAAAAGTCGAAACCAGTCTGAGGCCTATGGCGCGACATTTTGTAGCAACATTCACAACATATCGTAATGTAACCTTTACTTAACAGAACAGAGTGGTTATAAAATGCAACCAACAACACCTTTTGCCGTGTCACATGCTTTGCAGAGACTTACGGGGAAAGAAAATCTATATGCATGTTAGGAATGGCGTGTTTGCACCAAAAAAGCAATTTAAACAAGCCGATTTTCAGTTTGTTCAAGCGAGGCCAAACACATCGCAATTATTAGCATGCGTTAGCTTCACTTCAGACTGTTGACAACTTATACAGACATCAGTTGGAATTAAATCTGAAAAATGCTGACATACCTGGTCTAAGTTATCGTCACTAGCACTATCCTCGGAGTCAGAGTCAATAACGACCCGACCTTTCCGCTTCTTTACATTCACCATGATTAGCTGCGCAGCTAACCTGCTAGCTAACCCTCTGTCGTCTAATGTTTGAGGCTAGCTGTTGTTGCTAGCTTGTTGGATCTGCAGTCGCCACACAAAGGCAATACTGAGCATGCGCGGATGCATGGGTATTAAAACATTCATCTAAATCTGAACGAGTCGTTGAGAAAATTATCACCTTAACGTAACATTTCGTATTACTTGGGCTAGAATATAATTAAAAATATATATGGATTAGAAAAAACATGACGCTTGGATTTTTTTTAATTAGCAAATAGTGGATCTACTGGTCAACAGTAAGTGTGTTAGTCAGGACCATTTTCTGTGGTGCAATGAAGTTGCGTTCAAGATCCGCCACGGTCTCAGTAAATACGTTTCTCAGTATGTGTGTGAGACGTTGATCAGTTGAACGTCGGCTGAACGCAGCTCTAATCATCCCGCCGAGTTTCCTGTGTGGACCCGGACAACCTTGGATTTTGCACGAACGGGTCTCACGCCTTCTGCATATAATAGTACGGTATCTTAAAACCCACATGGATTAAATCACACCAAACTTTATCATTCGCCGATGTACCCAATAGCAGGAATTAGCCACTGGGTAAAGAAGGTGAGTAGGAACAAGTGTTAAAACCTTAGATTTAATTTCCACGATATGTTCGACCCAGTGTCAGAAATGTAGCCGTGGATATGCTAATAAAAAGAGAGGGGAGGCATATATTCTAACAATATTTACAATTTTAACTCGTGTAGTGCAAAGGTAGTGTGATTGACATTGGTTATGTCAGTGAAGGCACCGCTGTGTCATTTCAGTAGTTTTTTACAGCAGTATCCGCTGTCATTTATGACATCTGTTCCATTTGAAGGCTTTTTTTCAGCAATGTACTCCCTTACTATGAGGCTGTATTACATAACGTTATATTGAATAACGTGCTGTTCTAAAACAGAGAAACATAGTCTTTACTGTCCTTATCTCTCTGCATTACTAGTGTAATACAACTGCTTCCTTCTGTGGTCCCCCCTTGCAGTAAATCACCCAGATCAGCGCTGAAATGTCCCTGCTGAAGATTACACACCATCCTCCACTGAGGCTCCTGGGCTGCATCCACCAGCCCCTCTTCCCTTTCATCACTCCGTTCACCGTCCCCAGCAGAACTCTCATCCAGAGCGGATACCGGCGGCCGGGCAAGCCAAGAGAGGACCAGTTTCCGTGGCAGAAGATCAAGTTTGACTTGTCAAAGGGTCTGCAAGGGATAAAGAATCACTTCACGCTGCTGAAGAATGAGTTCCTGGGACGCTGGGTTGGACCGGAGGGCAAGCCCATCCTCGAACACATGTTGGAGCAGAACAGGGTGGTATGGGAGTTTAGAGGTCCGGAGAGCCTGCAGAATTGGACAGTGTCCTCAGATGAAGAGATAGGAGGCCAAAGCCGGGTCTACCTGAAGCTTGGAAAGAACGACAACACGTGTTTTCTGTATGGGACCCTGGGATCGAGTCCCCCGAAGGACGGGCTAACTCGCTACAGTGGATACTGCACAATGCGCTCAAAGCAACTGCTGGTCAGTGCTGGAGTTACCATTCACTTCTTTACCTGCCAATAAGATAAAAATAAATTACCTTATTGATAAAAGCACCAGATCTAAACTCAAACTTAACCCTCTGCGAAACCCTTTGTCGTTCTTAGGCTTCATTTGACAGGAAAAAGCACCACGACTGGTCCAGTTTCAACACCCTGCATTTGCGGATCCGTGGCGACGGCCGCCCGTGGATGGTCAACATCACGGCAGAGACGTACTTTTCCCACCAAAAAGACGACATATACAGTTATTTCCTCTACACCAGAGGGGGGCCCTACTGGCAAGACGTAAAGGTGGGAAAACAAGTCTGTTTCCCAAATTCAGACCGGCAGCAGAAGTCTGGGACCGATAGACTGACCCAACTCTCATTTGCAGATACCTTTCTCCAAGTTCTTCCTCACACATCGAGGGAGAATACAGGACGACCAGCATCCCCTCTGGCTCGACAAGGTACCGTCATATCACAGTTAACTTTACAAGGAGCTTAAATTATATTTAAGTACTGTGTATTTGCACAAAATATTTTGGGACTGAGGACATTACCGTTTGCAGATTAACACCATCGGCTTTACCCTGGGAGACAAAGCAGATGGGCCGTTCCAACTTGAGATCGATTACATCGGTGTCTGCAAAGACTATGCACATACTGAGGACTTCGCTTACGAGGTTTACAAGAGGAATCCGGAAGTATGAGAAATACCAAAGTCCTACTGCAGAACCCTTATTCTTACACTTATCTGGATTTTATTGATGTTCTGATATGTTACTGTCATTTATTTATTACTGTAGCATTGAGAAAAGCAATAAAAATCAGGTGGATCATTTTATTTTCCTGAAAAATGTCACCCCTTAAAAACTGAATTTATTCATCCCTCGAATGTCTATGCGAGTCAGTTCCATTATCCATTATTTTGCCAATAATAAAGTCGTGTTTTCCACAGTATCTTGTCATTTTTATTATAAAATCAAATATTTAAACATTTGGAAAAACTGCACTTGCAAATGCATCAAAATATTTTGTCTTCTTTTACCAGCCTGTTATTTAAAATCTTTCCCCTCAGAAGTAAAAACATGTGAAACATGCAAGAACAAAATAAGTAACAAAATGCAGCCAAATGGAGACAGAATGCATTTTTCATGGGTAAATGAAACTGTAAGAAAGGGCAGAGATGTGAGCATATCTATGTTCCCACGACAGGCTAACGGAGAATGCGGGCGATAAAATATTTACAAAGGACGACGGGCTGTACAAATGTCAACACACAAAAAAGAACGTCTCTACATCATCACAAGGCCTCTCCTCGCCCCTAGAATGCTTTGCTTCTTCTGTTTCCGGTCTTCCACTTTTTTCGCTCTACGGTCGTCCCTGGAAGACAAGGACATTCTGTTGCTGAAAGAGCAAATTGCCGTGCGGGCGTTGGCTAATATGAACCCTTTCATACCTGGACTGGACTTTGTGATTCTTGTAGCTTTCCTGATGCGTGTTCGAGAGCACCGACTTGTTCCCCACGGCGTTTTCTTGGGCCTCTCCAAACGGCTTCAGTTTACCTGCGCGCACACACTAAAGCATTAACGCTCTGTTTTGCCTGCGGACGCTGAGTTCTCGAGGGGCTTGGGGCAGGTTTATACCTTTATGTGGCTTGTAGGTGAGCGGACGAGACAGACTGGCCTTCAGATCAAAGCTCTGCTTCTTCTGCGTTCCGGGGGTGGTTACGGCGCTGGTGTTCCCGGTGAAGACAAATGGTCCTTTTAAGAATGAGAACGGGGGGGGAGGCATTTACTAAATTGGCGCACCCACCCACTTAACGTAACTGAAAACCCATTCCAGGGAACGGAACGGTTAAAAGGTACCTGGAGTCTTTTGGGCAGAGAAAGTTGCAGCCTTGACACTAGAGGGCTTCCATCCTTCTGCAGTCTGCTTTGGGGTGCTGGAAGTCACAGCGAGCAACTTGCGCGCAGGCGTTTTCACCAAACTTTTCTTTAACTCAATGTGATGAGTAGCCTCTGAGAATCTGCATGTTAACATTCAAGGTTGCATGAGAAAAAACAAAAACCGTCACACTTCAAACAAATGCAAGAATTTATTCTGACAACCAAACAAAGCTAGATAGTAGGAAATAGGAAGAAGGCACTCACCGAACATTAATCCTGCGAGTAGAAAGAACAGATGGTCTGAATGGAGCCACTTCTTTCCCGGCAGGTTTTTGTGGGGGGGCTTTACTGGTTGAGAGCAACGTGTGTCTGCTCTTCTCCACGGTTGGTTTCTTATCCAGCGGTATAGGGCTGAACAGGGGGGCAACGCCTGAATTGGCCCTCTGATGGACACAAACATAACCATCATTGCTCCATGGATGTTATCAAACCATTTTCAAATTCTGTACACCAAGCAAGCCAGGATCCCTAACACTATGAAATTTAAGAAAATAAATAAAAAATGCTGTGCAATTAGAGATGAAAAACCTTCCAAGAAAGTTAAAACTGTCATAAATGAAATACCTTCTGTTCTTTGACTGAACTTTTGTAGGTCCCAATCTGCTTAGTCTTCCGCTGAACATAGGTATCAATTGATTCCATTTTGTTGAACTGTGCTTCGTGAAGTTTCTTGAAGTCTTAAGTAGAGATGAGATTAGATGTGATAAACAAAAACTTTCCTTATAGGCCAGAGGCACGAGCCCTGCTGAACATCATTAGCTGACATCAAATAAAGGTAAAAAAACCTTTACTTACTGGGCGTGACTTGCTTTGGCAGGTTCTTAGTCTTTAACTGTAGCCCTTGGTAGCGAGGGATTTTGCCAGCGTAGGTCACCTTTGGAGCTTTTTCTGCACATGTGCATTGAACAGAAAGAAATGTGTCAAAAATCTTTAGAATATCTAAAGAAGATGGCAGTTACACGTCCGTTTTCTTTCAAAACAAATGACGGACCTGTTTCACTACAGATGGGTGCTTCTTCCTTAATGCTGGGCTGCTGCTCACTGCTGATGGTCTGTGGCTCCACTTCATGTTTTTCAGATCGTTTAACGTTAGAAACCTTTCTTTTCTTCCCACCTCTCGCATTGAAGAGCGAGCCACTCGTTTTGTTTTCAGTAGAAGCCTTAAAAAGGAGGAAATTAGAGATAATTTAAATGGAGATCTGTTGGTGACTCCAATTTCTCCTTAGCATGTCTCTATGGTTAATACCTCTGCAGCATCCGGAGCCACTTGGGCATCAAAGTCGATCCCTACTGCTACATCAGAGATCCTTCTCTTGGAGCAGGTTCCTCTCCCCCGACGTGTGTTCACAAACACAGCAGGGCTGGAGGCTGCATTCTCACTTTCCTGAACGTCCATTTCATTTTTATGCATATTGTTATTATCTTGCTCCTGTAATAGTAGCATCGTTCGTACACACACATAAAAAATGCAACAGAACACGTCTAAAATGTTTTCCATCAATACTGATGAAGAGCCAGTTACCTGCCCTTCCGCCTCCTCTTTCTTCACCTCTCGTTGATAATGCTGCTTTATGGCTTTCAGAAGTTTCTCAGCCTGAAAGTCAAGAAAAAAATGTTTTTCCTACGTTTTCCTGTCAGGATTTCTAAGCGAGCAGTTAGCTGTTGTTAGCTTTTCTTCTCAAACAACGTGCAAAATAAAACGCAGTTGCCTTACTTTCATGTTCGCCTTCAGTCCGAGCTCTTTAGCAAGGCTTCGTAAGTCGGCATATTTCATCGAGTCCAAATCCATGTTGTCGTAGCTTTTCATTCCGCTTTACGAAAACCAATTAACTAAAACGCACACCGGTTTGTCATTCAGACTTGTCTTTGTCAGACTGGCATTAGCGAGTTCTCTCCCGGTGGACGGTTAAATTTTACCTCGGATTCAAAACACAGCAGTGGGAGCTATTTGATTGGCTGTTAGATTGAACTACATATACCTCACAGCCAATCACAGTGCAGCTAGTGAACGCCCGTTACAGAATTTCAAGTTTCACTAAAAACCAATATGTGAAAATGTTAATTTTCACGACTGCAATAACTCTAAATTAACCTTCCTTTTTCATTCATTTATTTCAAGGTACTGCAAGTAAATTAGTTTTATAGAGGCAGGAAGGCGTTTCTCACAAAATACCAGGTGGTGGCAGTGTTTTTGTTTACCGCACCGAAATTAAACTAGTTGAAGAAGCCATCCTCCGTCGTGCTCTATTCAAATTCTTGAGCGGGCTGCAGTTTCGGGCCTTTCTTTGCTTGATTAACTACAATGGAGTACGACGAGGGCATCTTACGTGAACGTATGGACGATGTAACGTTGAGCACAGCGGCGGAACACAGGCACATGATGACTCTCCACTGTCAGCAGTGCCACACCGTTCTGGCGGACTCACACGGCGTTTGTGGGGAAATAAACAGCATGGGCTGTATAATGTGCATAAGTAAGTATGTTTTTTTTTTTTTATTAAACTTTGAAATGAAAAACGAAACAGCTTGGAGATGGTGTCAACCGTATTCTTTAGTTGTGTTTTGGATGATGTCACGTGACCGAAAACCGATGTCGTAAAAAAATATCCACAAAATCCTTTTTTTTGTTTGTTTGATGAAGTCGTTCGTGGGTGTTTTTTCTCTATTTGGAGACTTTTCACGGTTACTGGACACGCAGCTGGACACGGTCAGTCACCTTTCTGTTTTGCAGGCGTAACCAATGACGTTGTTGTGAGTGTCGTGATGGTGTCGGGACGCAAAAGGGAGCTGGTGGATTGGTGAGTATGGCTATGAGGGGACGTCTCCACACGTCACGGTTTCTGTCTTTAGTTTTTAAGAGACAAACTTGTTCTGCATGTCCAAACCATTTGAACTGCGTGCTTCTAGCATCTTCAGTGCTCTGCAATGCAACTCCTGCCACTCTGTTGTGGGGAAAGTTATCCATTCAGCCCCGTCCCGTTTGGCTTCCATTCGCTCCATCTTCCTTCTGCACAAAGCCAACATCAACTGGTAAACCGCCTGACATGTTTAACTGCCCAATCTGGGACTTGATTTTTTATATTCTCATGACTCATGGTAGAGGGTTTCTGTGCAACTGGACAAATGGATTAAATCCAAGATAAGTGGCTTGTGAACTTCTTTTTTTTTTTTTTTTAACTGGGCTTGCACAGCTCAGTCCTTCAGCGTTTTAGTATTTATTTAAATTTTTCTTCCCTGCAGCTACATCCTCGACAGCAGCTCAATGGTGAAAGCATCCACGCTCACATTTGATCTGAAGCCCCTCACGGACAGCATCACTAAGGTGAGTCGGCGAGACTAAAACCTGAGAAAAAACCTTGCTGTTCAGCTCTGTGCAAACGTAATCTAAATACTCTGAATACTGTGTTTTCATATACATTTCATTTCGGTGGCCTTGTTCGAAAAGATTAGTGCTAATTATTTAATCTCTTATTCAAATTCCCTTCCTACCAAATATGATAACTATGATCAACATTATATTTAAAGACTCAGGACAAGTGGTTAAGATAAAGAAGTTCTTGGTTCAGATTCTTGAGAGATGACAGATTGAAAGCTGTTTCGGTTGGACTAAGGGATGCTGTGATTATTCCACCTGAAAGGCCTACCTGTGCTTTCCTTTCCTCTGCAGATGAGACATAAGTTCGATGCCCAGTTGGATCACATGTTGTACATTAAGAGCAGGCTAGCCGACATGAGTCTTACATCTACAGTAAGCAACTAATCTGTACCAGCATTGTCAGTGTTGAGATAAGAGATTTCGTAGGGGAATCTTTGTTCGTTTCTAAGTTAATGACGCTGTCATCTCTGCGCACAGTTCACTCTGTCCTCCTTTTGTCTGCAGCAGTTTGCATAATATCCTATTTCTTCTGTTTTTCTTTGTCAATAAAGTAAAAAAAGCCACTTCTCTACTAGTTTTGCATCTCGTTTCTGCCAGCATAAGCAAGTCATGCTCAGAGGTCTTTTTAAAAAATGTTATTTTGTTGTGTGTTTTTCTTTAGTCTTATGCTAAGAGGGGTGAATCCATACTGATTCACCAAAACCTCCTGGTCATAGTAATGTTTTCTGGGAGTTCTGGGCTAAACAGTGACTTAGTCCTGGTAAAATGTTGATAAAAAGGAATTTAGCTTTAACTTTAATCCTTCTGGGGGCTTCTTGCAAACAGAACATGTAAAAATGACACAAACTTGGCCTAACACAAAAGTTTCCTTCCATTTGATCGTACGCCTAAATCCAGTTCAACAGTGTTTCATTTTTTACCCAATTTGGTAGATCTACAGTTGCATTTTAAAGTGATTGCACTCATTCTCAAACTTCTCTCTCCCCTGTTGATCTTCATGGCAAATTTCGAAAGGGTGTCAGAGGTCAACGTTCAGTTTGGTCCTCTAGTTGTGGATCCAGCATTATTTTTTTCAGCTTATAAGCTTATAAAATAAAATTAAAAGTAGGGAATACATCTCAAACTGTTCCACAGGAACTTTTTTTTTCCTTTAAGCATATGATCAAATTGTTCCCTTATACACTAGTCCACTGTTTCTCCAGACTGACCCCGAGGCATACAGTCCTTCATTTTTTCCAGCTCCCAAAAAAAATTTAATGCCATCACCAGATATCTGTAGATCTTAAAGAGTGGCTCCATTAGTTTAATGAAATCTAGAGCTGGAAACTAACTGGAAGAAATCAGATTTATTTAGTATGCAAGTTGTACGATTAATAGAGGCTGAAAATTCTAAGTTAAAATGGACTTGATTTTTAATTCTCCTGCTGCTTTGTGAACTGGCTTCGGATAGACACATCTGCAAAATGCATTGACATAAATAACAACAACCAGCCCTCCAATTGGCACCATGCTGCATTTTATTGCTGATTTTCTGATACAGATTCTTCTTTTTTTTTTTCTTCTCCTATTTTAAATGAATACAAAACCAGACAAGAGGCTCACACATATTAAGCATGCCCATTTCCTCCCTCTGGAGTGCATAGTTTCTACACAGTCCTCCTCCTCAATGGAAAAGTTGATCAACAAAATAATGTCATTAACCTCACCTAATCTTTTTTTGTCTTTTTTTTTTAACTCTCGTCAGCTTCTTAGGAACAAATGTTGATCTGTGTCTCAGTTCTACTGCATAAAAGGCAGAAAGCTGTTCTATTCTTTCCTTTTTTTGTGCTAAAACCACAACTGATTGTTGGAGCTACTTAACTGTGCCTACTGCTGCGTCAAGTAACCCATCCCCACTTCCCCCCCCCCCCCCACATAACATCAGCTTTGAACTTGTCAGTGTCCTAATTACACCCATTCACATTACAAAGTTGGATTATTGCATGCAATACAAATCATTCATTATTTTGCTTACTAAGTCATGCATATTTTTTTTTTTTAATTCTTAAAACCCATATATTCATGTCCCGTGGACGTCTACTTGCTTATAAACTGCGATTATAAATCCCCAGAAACGGCGTTACATGGTTCCTAGAACACAGTAGTCAAGACGCTTTGATGACAGGGAGGAAAGTGCTTTGGAAGCAAGTGCTCCTCAGTGTTTCACAGACAAAGGAGTACTTTTAAAACAAGAGTTTTTTAAGGGAAAGGGTGGATTTAAAAACGCTACGGGGACTGAAATGTAAAGCATCTCATGCACCGGTTAGGACACTCAACGTGTGATTTTGGAGTCTAAAGCAGAAATTCGCCATGGCTAAAACTAAAGAAAAAAAAAAAAAAAAAAAGG